AGTTTAAAAAAACCAACAAACTTTTCAATTTTCAATGATTTAGTCCCTAAACTGTTTTTTTAATAAAAAAACTATTAAACTTTCTTCTTTTGAATGATTAAGTCTCTCAGCTATTTTTTTTAATGAAAGAACATTAAACTTTCTCCTTTTGAAGGAAACTATTACAAATTTTCATTTCAATTGATTAAGTCCCTAGAGATTTTTTTAATAATAAATCATCACACTTTTAAAAATTGGTTGCCTACATCTTTTTAACTTAAAAAATATTACATTAACCGAATAGTAAAAGTACGAGGTTTTATTTATTTTAAAAATATCAGGGTCTTAAACATTCAAAATGTGAAAGTTTAATGATTTTTTCTTTCAAAAACAAATAGTTCAGAAATTTAATCATCTAAAATAAGAAAGTTTAATGATTTTTTAATTCAAAAAAATAATTTATGGATAAACCATTCAAAATAAGAAAGTTTGTTGGGTTTTTTTTTCAGGATATTTCCTTAAAAAGAACACTCATCGATCATTTTTATCAATATACCAATTGATTGTATAAATGAGATAGGTTACATTTGAAACGTTCTCTCTCTATATTATTTAAGACACAGTTTAAATCAGATAAACAAAAGGTCTCGTGCCTTAACACTCTTGAGATTCAAGAGACAACTTCAATTGATTAGATTTGCTCCAATGATCGAAGTTCTCTCTTTTAAGCTACAAATACTTAAAAAGAGTATTGTTGTTGGCATTTTCAACCTTTTCTTCATAAGGTACCAATTTGTAGGATTAATTTTTGAGACTATATATACATATATATATATATATATATATATATATATATATAGGAGCGTTCAAATAAAAACCACCTAATTTGTACAAACCGTGTAAAACTCATTTAACCAATCATAATTTTTCATTTTGTTCATTTTTTTTTTTGTAATTATGAGAGGTTGATTAACCATTTTTATTGTGGAGAGTGTTAATCATGGATATTATCATCTTCATTATTTTAATTTTAGAGAATTACATGAAACAGTTTCATTAAATATTATATGAAACAATTTCATAACCATATATGAAACAAATTCATCAAAAAAAGTATTATATGAAACAATTTCATAACCATATATGAAACAAATTCATCAAAAAAAGTATTATATGAAACAATTTCACAAGATTAAACAATTTCATGATAAATTTTCATAAGATTAAACAATGAAATCGACGTATAAGGGTGGTTTGTACGGTTTATACAAATGAAGGTGATTTTCATTTGATCGATCATCTCTCTCTCTCTCTCTCTCTCTCTATATATATATATATATATATATATATACACAGAACATCTAGTGGCAGATCTAGAGACTTAGGTGACTGGAACCAAGGGGATACAAAATCCAAAACCGAATAACTCACCCAAACCAAAACGGTTTCGGGTTATTCGGCTTACAAGTTATACGGTTCGGTTAACTAAATAAGATAAGCTTCAGTTTTAATATTTTTTTTACCATATCGGTTAATTGAATAGCAAACTATATTATTATTTAATTTATATAATATTTCCTTCTAGATGAATTTGTTTGAGCATATATAAAATTAACGTAGGTGAAAGATATATCTTTAACTAAAAGAACAAGAAACTGAGATATACTTAACAAAATCATCAACAAACGTTATCATTGTAGCATAATTGCAAGAACTAGCGGTAACAATATACGATGAGGAAAACTACCAAATGAGAGAGTGGGGGTTTCATCAAAACGAACCAGACCATTAGGGAATTGTCGAAAATGACCGGAAAAACTAAATACATATGAGTTAAAAAAAAATTGTACCTAGATTAGTTTAAATAATTACAATCAACGCTTTATATTAGAAAACAATCGATATATTTATAAAAACTAGATGTTCATTAAACTAGATGGATGGTTAAGATGGTTAACTTTCCATGGTGTGTATTTTATCGGGACCATACACACACACATGAGTGAATTACATTGTTGTTTGCTCAAATTTTGGATTTGGTCCCTAAAACAAACTATATACACCGATGGTCCCTAACTTTTTACTTTCATAACACTTAAGGTCCCGAGAGTTAACATCAGTTAACAACTGCTTAGAGAGACAAATTAGTCTTTGGGTAAACTACAAGGACCACCAATGTAATTAACTCTAAAATTAATCGTGATTCACATCTTTTCTTTTTCTGTAAAGTTTCTTTATTAAAAATATTTGAAGTGCAATTAACGAAAAAAAAATTATTTTGACTATTATATCAATTTAGTTGTTATAACTTATTCATAATTATTTGAAAATTTAATTTAATAATGTCTCATAATATTTTAACTTTTAAAACATAACTATTTTTATAACAAAAAGTTATTTATTCTAATAAATAAATCTTAACAAATAACTATCTCATGTTAATCGTATTTAAAATATTTTTAATAAAGATTTTTTTTAAAAAATAATCACAATTACTTTTAAAAGGAATTACATTTTTGGTCCCTATAATTTTCCCAACAACTCATTGTACTTTCTAAAGATTGATAACTAACGGTATTAACTCGAAAGATTTTGAGTGCTATAAAATTGAAAAGTTAAGGACGATCGGTGTAGATAAATTCTTTTAGGAACCAAAATGCAAAACTTGAGCATAAAACCACAAGAGCACCAACGTAATTCACTATATCTGGATATCCAACCCGTTATGCGAGCCAACTAATCTTAGGACGACCACCTGCTTTGTAGATAGCCCGGAGTCACCGTATTTGAACCTCCGTGGCCACAAGGGAATTTTTATTCCTCCTTTGCATTTGAACCTGAGACCTCCTAGTACTTTTGACCTTTGGAGTCAAGTTCAAACTAATCATGCACCACCCTTATGTTAAAGATTTGATTTTTGGTCTCTATTTTAAAGAAACTACAAAATTTGTTGGAGATGCTATAAGTCTATAAAAGAATCGACAGTAAAGATCTACACCAATATGTACAAATTAAACATTGTATCTCATAGTATATATTTGGGGTATTTTTTTTAACACAAACATTTGGTCCTTAGCAACAATATTGCAACGGAAGCAACCTATTAAATATATATATTTGTGTGAAATATGTGGAATCCTATTAGATGGATATATATTGTCTTAGAGTGTCAAAAGGGGGTCAGATGTACCGGTCGGATTGCCCCACAATGCCAAGTCTGAGTCCCTATAATATTAGACTTTGGTTCTGATATCATGTGAGAGTATGTATTGTTGGTTTCCAGTGAGAATGAAAGTTATGATAAAAGGTAAGAAAAGATCTTCATCGTTGGATTCACACTAGGATGAGACACACCAGATCAATCCTAGTATCAAACGCGATTCATGGATGAGTTTGAGATTAAAAGTGATCAAGGGTTCAGATCTCTTCTTACCTTCTCAACTTAAATCTTTTTCTCACATGATCCTTCGTCTATGTGTGTGTATATATATATACATATATATATATATATAAAGAGAGAGAGAGAGAGAAGTTCAATTGCAAAACCGGTTTTCGGTTGTGAACTGGGGGACAAAGGAGAACGTGAAACATGTTTCCAGCGTACGCATTCAGAATGAATAACTAAGTTGAATGTTTTTCAACTATTTATTATGAATGATACAACATTCATGATAAATAATACAACATTCATGATGGATAATATATAATGATGATCCATGTTAAATTGATTATTTATTCATGATGAATAAGATATATTGATCATGAATAATGCATTCTTCATGATAAATAACCCGTGAAGGAGTGATGCATGTGTCGCGCTCTCCTTTGTCCCCAATTCACAGCCGAAAACCGGTTTTTATTTGAACTTGCCCATATAATATATATATATATATATATATATATAGAGAGAGAGAGAGAGAGAGAGACTTGGGATCACGTGAGACCAAATTGTTTTCGTGAGACCCATGATAGCATTTATTTACATTTGAAACTTCACAGCAAAACACTATGAAGGTAAAAAGATTTGAACCTTCACAGCAAAAACATTATGAAGATTACCTTCACAGTATTTTGCTATGAAGTTTCATGTGTAAAAAAATGGTCTCACGGGTCTCACGAAAACATGTTTGTCTCACGTGATCTCAAGTGTGTGTGTGTGTGTGTGTATATATATATATAACCCCAACCAAAAGAGTCGTTTGAGAAAAGAAGGTTCCAATATATACAAAGAGAGCAGAAATAGTTCAGATCTAGACGACGTGGTACTCCAACACGTATATAAACAACATGGAAAAAGAGAACAAAAGAAATTACTCTCAAGAGACCGTATATAGGGTTGACATGAATCCAGTCTATTTTCGTGAGACCACATTTTTACACTTGAAACTTCATAGCAAAGCATTGTGGTAAAAAGAAATTTGAAGATTCACAGCAAAAACACTATGAACTGTGAAGCTTACCTTCATAGTGTTTTATTGCGATGTTTCAAATGTAAAAAAAATTGTTTCACGGTTCTCACAAAAATAGTCTGATCTCACAAGTCTATACACACACACACACACACACATATATATATATATATATATATATATATGTGTGTGTGTATGCATACACCTCATATATACATTACCTTCACAATGTTTTATTGTGAAATTTGAAGTGTAAAAAAGTAATTTTACAGTTCTCACAAAAATAATGTGATCTCACACGATATCAAGTATATATATTTATATATATATATATATATATATATATGTGTGTGTGTATGCATACAGCTCATATATACATTTTGTAGACTTTTAAACGAATAAAATAATTACATTTTGTGAATTATTTTATTCAAAAAAGAAAAAGTTACAGTAAATTAGTAACACAAGAATTAAGTTGATTTTAATACGGGGATGAATGTTTTCTTCATCTATATATAGAAAGAGAAGATAACCATACATCCTCTAATTTGAAGGCAAGCAACCAATAACACACACACACAGAGGGTTACTTCTCCTGTGTCGTGAGGAGTGATGTCAAGCAGCGGCACCATCTGCACAGATGTAGCAGCAACTTCTGAACAACTTTATTACATTCACTGCAACTTTTGCAATATCGTTCTTGCTGTACTCTCTCTCTCTCTCTCTCTCTATATATATATATATATATATATGTCTGTGTGTGTCTTAATAGGGACAAAATGTCAAGTCTCCATCGTTTAGAGCTTTTTCTTATATCTTCTTCTGCTACCTATACTACCAACTATGTATGTAATCCATAAATTATGCATCAATCCATGTTCTTGATCATATAATGGTACTGTATATGAATGTTGAAATGAACCATGTTCTCTTTTAAACAATCACACTCAGAATGATCACAACGGGTATAGTTCTTGATCATTTTCTGAAATCCGTAATCGTGATTTGGGTTCAGGTGAGTGTACCATGCAGCAGCTTGTTCGATACTGTGACAGTAAGATGTGAAAACTGCACCAATATGTGGCCTCTAAATGTGGGCATGGCTGCTACTCTTCAACAATCCTTTTCTGGTTCAACCTCCACCTTTCAAGATTCGTCTTCTCCCCATAACCAAGTAAGTATCCTCATATCTGCAGCTATAATTTAACATATTACTCCTAAATTTGAATCCTATTCTTGAGTATGAATCTTGAAATGAATTATCAGATGTGTGCTAACAAGCAAACGATAACAAGTTCTCAGTTCGTTTGGCTTTTTGGGCATTCGATTTTGTAGCGTACCCCTCTCGGGTACGAAACTTAAGGTGCCCGTGTTCGATGATCTTATAGTTATGAATTAGGGTTTGATGGTGTCTTAGTTATTAGGGTTTGTTATTTAAACAAGTTCATAATTGTGGGTTTTGTTGTTGTATATTCAGCAAGGATCCAACTACACTTCCCCTAATTATAGGGTTGATTTGGGGTTTTCATCTGACTGCAACAACATGATCATGCCCACGACCCTGATCAGGCCTCACACCCCTTCAACTAACAATGGAAAAGAGATCAACAATCATCGTTCGTTTATTTCTTGATATCCATTTTTGTTATGATATATATATATATATACACATATACACACACAAAATATCGTATTTATTCGTGTATAGTTTTTATCGCTTAAAATGATTCGTTCTCGTTTCCAGCTCAAGAGAAGAGGCGACGTGTTCCTTCTTTGTATAATCGGTTCATAAAGTAATGATCGTGAATCATCCCCCGTCTTCGTTCTTTCTTTAAATAATTGTGCATCAAGAGTTGGGTTCACGTGAGACATGGTTGTTTTCGTGAGACAAGTTTTTTATACTTGAAACTTCATAACAAAATGTTGTGAAGGTAAAAAGAATCTGAACCTTTATGAAGGTTACTTTCACAGCAGAACACTGTGAAAGTTACCTTTACAGTGTTTTGTTGTGAAATTTCAAGTGTAAAAAACTTATTTCATGTGTTTTACTAAAACAATATTGTCTCACATGATCTCAAGTCTATGTATCAATATACATGCATCTTTCTCAACAAATTGGGTACTTTTATTTTCGAATGTAATGGGTTGTTTTCCATATTAAATATAAAAGAATTATATTATTATGAATGAATTTAGTGTAAAACATATTTGAGTATATAAACAAGATGCCATATTTACAAAATGATGACTATTTTGTGATAAAAATATACAGACAACTATATTAAAAACTAATCGATGCAATTTTTCTCATTACTGATGGCAAATGCAGAGAGGAGATCCAAAGGATCAAAGCCAACAATCCAGATATCAGCCATAAGAAAGCTTTCAGCACTGCTGCCAAGAACGTAAGTTTGCATCATATATACCACATTCAAGTAAGTTCGAATCAAGATCAAACACTAATTGTTTGTTTGATTTGATTTAAATCGAATTGAACCATTTACGCATATATATATATATATATATATATATTATAGATGACCTTCTTTTAAGAATCCATAAAATTGTGATAACCTTAAAAACTAGTGTATCATGTGCTATTTCATATAAGTTTTATTAACCTGAGACTAGGATTTAGAATATTGATGAAAATATATTTGTTTTACAATGTGTTTGTATCATATGTATTTGTTTCACAATGTTAATTTTTTTAGCTTGTTTATGAAACAAAAGTAATACCTAAATAAGTTTGACATTGTGAATCGCATATAGACATTAGGTAAATACATTGTAAAACAAATATATGTCTATCAATATATTAAATGCTAGCATTCGATGGAAAAAAAAACATGTGAAACAATGTCTTAAGATGAAAGTTCTCCCAATTATCACAATATATGAAGTTCTCAAATAACTAAACACACATACACACATACATACACACACATATATATATATATATATATATATATTATATCTTGTTGACTTTCATAATGCATTTTGTAATATATTAAGTGGATTTAGTTTGAGACACAAATTCATTTGTGACATTAATTGTGATAGTGGGCACATTTCCCTCATATGCATATTGGGTTGATGTTCGATCGAGAACAACCACCACCAAGCTAATCTTGATGAGGTACGTTAATTTATGCTTAATTAGTTTAATTATTTGATTAAGTCCCTGAAATTGGTTGCTTTAGAAATACGCACATGCGATTTGATGGAATTCGTTTGCATTGAAACAAAAGGGAAATAAAATGTACAATTATACGAAATTCTGTGCAAATAATCAATAGATTCTGTAAAATTAATCCTAATTCGCTTTAAATAATATAAAAATGTATATATCTGGAAAAATAATCGAGTTTTTCATCTTATATTATATGTTGCAGAATCAAAGATTATGTACGCTATCCAACAGATGATAAAGTTTGATTCGAAGATTATCTAACGCAACCCCTGCCGCTCTGTCTCTTTCTCTTTTATATATGTATAAATACATGGACAAGCTATATATATATATATATGATATTTTGTAGAACTGTATTAATAACGTTGTTAGAGATTTCTCAAGTATTTTAATTTCCTATCCAAGTATGCGACGTACGGTAGGCTGGATTTTTCTTTTTGAAGTATATATTTACATGATAAACGTTCGTACGCCTAAACTTTTAAGCTATTATAAGAAGTTGGATTATACCAATAATATATTTTAGCTTATTCAATAAGCCTATTGTGATGGGTTGAACTTTGATGTGGCATATCAATTCACTATCTTATGAAAATATGTAACATCACATCTAAAAGTGAGAATTTTTATATATTATTTTATGAAGAAAAAAATGTGGTGTTACTTTTTGAAATGTCCTTACCGTAGCGGTTCATGACTATAGGGGGGTGGGATTGTTTATAAAGATAACTTATTGACTTATTCCAGTGTAGTATCGGTAATAAGTACTTTTGAGTGTTTGGATAAACAACTTATACCGATGTCAAACCGGTAATAAGAAGTTTTTGAAGAAGTTAAATCCTTCTGACTTGTAATAAGTTGATAAGTGTTTTTACAAAAAAACATAAATTGTTTCAAATAAGCAATCGCAAACACCCCTATATATGAGATCGAGGTAAATTGCATGTTTAAAAGTCACGTGGATGGTGCATGTCAAGAGTTGAACCTCATACCTTCCTCTTATCTTTCAAGAATGCTCATCTTGATACATATTAGGCTAAAGTTGTAAGGATGAGAAAAATTTGTATTAAGAAAATGGATTCAAGATATATGGATTATCTTGAAAAAAATCTTAACCATGTAATAAACGCAGTTTCGTTGAGCAGGGACGGACCCAGGTGGTTCAAGTGGTGGCACGTGCCACTGTTTCGTTCCTCCGTTGTAGTATAAAAAGTTATAGGGTCGTAAAAAGTGTCACCGTATCAATTTGTTGTGTGTCACCGCATATATTTTGAAACTACAATAAGGACACAAGTTTCCCTTGGTAGAGTTGGTTGCAGGGTTTTTCTTCCACCTTAGACCCGAGTTTGAATCCAGTTAGTGTCATTTTCTTAGTTTTTAGCTTTTAATTTCAGATTTTGTTATGTTTCTGAAAAAATTGCAATAGAAGACTTGAACACATGACCTTACATATGAAAAGCAATGAACTAACCAACAGACTAATGATGATTTCATGAAAAAAATATATTTGTTTCTTATAGACAAATGATGTCACCGCTTGAAAAAAATTCTAAGTCATTCTCTGACGTTGTGAATTTATGTACATATCGCATGTGTAAGAAAAAACACCATGCGAGTTCTATATGTTTATGCCATCCACTATGGTAATCGTTTATGCAGTTGTTTAACTGATACGTGTAATAAATTATATTCAAAATTGCGTTGCAGTGGATGGTCTTGCAATATTCTTTGTTTTCTGCTTCTCCTCCATTTCCTTGATACTTCTGTTACATAGGAGAGACGTAGAAAAGGTAGACTCTAACCAAATCAAACGTATTCAATATATTTCCCCATAAAGTAGGGTTTTCGACCAAATAGTCCTTGGCCTAGCGGTATCATAGTCATTGACCTCATAATAGATCAGGGGTTCAATCATCACCAAAGGTGAGCAGGGTATGTGAGTTTATTTGTTGCATTTGTTGTATATAAATATTATATACTTCCAAAAAAGAAGTAGGGTTTTCGATCTTCTTAAACAGAGGAGAGGTTTGCATTTCATTTACTTACCAAAACTTTTACGAGCAAGAATGCATATAAAATGGGAGCTCGAGAACCATTATATAAAATAAAATTAACTGAAGTATGTAGCGGCTGCAATCAAAGGTCTTGTCCATACTTTCTTTCTATATTTGTCAAAATAAACTATCTGTTAAAGGTGGTTGTTCGTTGAACTATCACCATCGTACTTATGCATTCACTTTTCGCAAGTTCTTGTGGGGATACAGTACGTGATGTTATTTCAAGACTTATGATTCAGTGTACTTATCCAATGGATACTGGCCTCATGCGACTATATATAGATACTAGGCCGGTCCAACCCTTTTCCGCGTTTAAATAGTTTTCTTGTTTTGTAAAAGCAAAAGCAAAACGACTTTTCAAAACCCTAATTTATTTAATTATTCCAAACCGATAGGTTTAGATTTATAAGCTTAAATCTTAAATAAATATGGTTTTAATAAACCTTTCTTAATATATTTATTTCATTAATCTTATATAGATCTCTTTTCATTTACGGGCCATTTACTAAACATTTATCCGGATAAACGCTTATCAAATCACATTATCTTACTGGATGAACATAGTAATAACCAAGAAAACTTTCCCGATGAGGACGAAGGCAATGATTGAGAGTCTTGTCTGGTAAATGAGAGCAACGACTTTTACCATGGTTAGCGTTTATCGGTATATTGTTGCATAAGATACTGTTTTAGTGGACTAAATTCTTACCCAGTAACTAAGTGATAGTGTTGAATTTTGCTTGAAAACACTTACCCAAATAAGCGTTTGGTAAACCACAGCTTAATGGTTTATGATGCTTGTTATCCATTAACTATTGCTTATACATAAGTCTTAATAGTCACTCATCTAATATACATGTGCAAGTTTGTCATACTATATTCATTTTTTATACATAATATATTCGAAAAACATAGCAACGGTGCAAAATATTATGATGAAAATACTACTAGAATAATGGGTATTTCCGGCGAGATTTCCGGAGGATTACTGGCGGACATCAAAAAAGTCAACTTCTGTTGACTTCCGTCGGAAATCCGCCGAAAATATTATTCTTGTTGAATATGCATTGTAGATATGTCTGGCAATTTCATACTAGGTATGTTTCTGTTTGTGGTTGACCTCTTTTATTTGGGTCCTGAGTTCTAATCTATAATATAACGTTCCAAAGTCAAAACTCAAAAACGATAGATTACCTGGTAAGTTATAATGCAACTTAAAACCATGCTATAAGTTATTAGTAGCCCACAACTTGAGTCATATAAAAGATACACAGTCATTTTAATCTACGTAGGATTGGTAGTCACAACGCCCATCTCACTTAAACGAGCTCACAACCCCCATTTCAATTCGTTACCTAGTAACAGAATACGCACTTAGAATTTATCAGCGACACATTAATTTATCTTTATCTTATTACATGGCATATGTTTAACGTCGTCGTTCGGCATCAAAACATGCATCAACTAAACTTGAAGCAAACTTTTGGTCAATCCTAAAAACTAATCAAAGTGTAACCTTATGGTCCGTTGGACATAACAGTACAGCCTATTGGCCTGACTTTATGTCCTATGTATTGTAACCTCACATCATGTACAAATTTGCGCATAAAATACATTTTTGTGTTGTTATACTGTATTACTCTGATATCAGTTAATTACCTTATACAGAACTTGTAATCCTTCCCTACTGTAAAACCTCATGGATACTTTAGAATCGTCACTAATTTCAGATATCCTTTTCTTGATTAACCTACATATATCGTATGCAACTTATGTTATCGCTCTTTATATTCATATATTTGATTTTGTAACTCCTTAACTCATTGCCATTTTTAAGCTTTAAATGCTTAAATATGGATGTCTTAACAAACTAAGGTTTAATGGCGGGGACCTCATGGCCCCGTGGTCCACATTTGTGAACCCTACCTGCCCTACCTCTATAGGCAATGTCTTAACAAACTACTATTGACTATGTTTCGGTTTTGGAGGAAAACCTTAAAAAACAAACTTTCTTACTGATTTCTTTGGGTCATGATCTTGTTGTGACCCAACGTAGGGGTACCTTATCAGACGTAAGTACGTAAGTTTATGTCTTGTGTAATTTGCAGATATCAACCAATCAGACGTTTCAAACACTGTCATGTAACTATATTGGTAACATCATTTTAACATGATTATTCAAGAACTATTACCATGATGTCCGATCTCAACATATATAATCACTATAACAAAACTGAGTTCTTAGAACGCCTAAAAGTGTTTAAATTTTCTGATATAGTATCTTACAAGACTTAAGTTTATAGGACCAAAAAATAGAACATTTTATCTGTGTTACAACAAGTACTTTATAGGAAGCTTTTAAGCGTCATAACAAGTTTTTAAAACTATTTTTAAATAAAGTGTCGTATTAGGTATTTTATATAACGCAATTTGAAAAAGTGTCATATAATAAGATGAGCTTACAAGACATTTTTCAAAAATCCTGTAAAATAATTAATTGGATCTTGGAGGGTTCTTTCTCTCACTTCTCATTTATTGTTTCAAGGCCTTAATAATAAAGGGAAATGAAGAAAAGCTCAAGTTCTAAGTCTGGACCGAGTCCGACTCAAAAAATCTTGGGCTTAGTGAGCTCAAAGCCTGATCAGGGTCGGGCCTCAAACCCTGATCAAACTGAAATTTTGGGAGCAGTCCTGGTCCGAAAAAGCCTTACTTAAAAAAAACTCGATTAAACCTGAAAAGGTTTAGTCTGAATTTACCCGATCAGTTCATTTTCAACCCCAAAGTCCAGTCTGGACTTAAAAAGTCTGACTTTTTTCTTTACATACTAAGGCATTGTTTGTCAAAAACAAACTATCTTATTTTTAGTTTACATGTTTGGATGACCATAAGGTAGCTTATAAGCTAACTTATTAAAACGCTATTTGAAGTAGCGTTTTGAGAGGTTTATTGTAACTTTTTTCTAATTATAATCATCATTAAAATTAATTATTATTTATTACAATTAATAATAAATAAATGTTAATTAATATTAACTACTAATAAATATTAAGTAAAAATAAAAATAAATTATTACTATATTAATAATATTAACTATTAATTAATTTTAATTATACAATATATATTAATATTAATGATTTACAATAATATTAATCGTATCAATTATTCGTATAATTATAGTTTAATATATTTAGTTATCAAAATGTAAATTTAAAAGTCTTAAAAATATTTATGTAAGTTACATAAAATTACTTTTTTTGTTTTATAGATAATACAAATATGTTAAATAATTTTAAAAAATACTTAATTTAATTATTAGTTATTAATTATATATTTTAAAAAATTGTTAATGATTAGAATATGTGAGATTAACACTTTTATTTTTATTCATATTATATCTATTGATTATTTATTTTTTTTCATAAATTTATTTAACAAATCCAAAATTTATAATAATCAACTTGAAATCCTTTTAGTCAACATATTATAATATTTATTATTTATCATCTTTTTTATATTAATTAACATATCATATTTTTTAGAAATTGTTTCAATTATATTATGAAATATTATAATTAATTAATTTTTCAAAAAAAAAAAATTGGTCATTTTACATGTTTATAAGTTATTTTTGTCAAGTATAATTTGTTCATCATCTACCATCTAACTTATAAGTCATCAACTAGTTTATCAGCTACCAACTAGCTTATCAGTCATCAGCTAGTTTATCAACTAACAGCTAACTTATCAGCCATCAGTAAACTTATAAACCAGTATACCAAACATAGCTTAAAAACAAGCTTGAAAGACTCGAACCGAACCCAAAAAAGTCCACGCCTTATTCATCTGAATCTCCTTAAATACCCACTAAATTGGTTATTCACCATGAATAAAATGATGGCCTTAAATAGCCACTAATTAAATTGGCTTAATTAATAAGTCATGAGGAATAGAAAATTAATGATGATAACTCCCTTCAATCAGCCGTATCTTGAGATGAGATTGGGAGTTTGGTGGCTCATTAAGGTCATTAATTATGTCTCTTAATTAAGCACATATTTATTCAATATTCGCCCTAATAACTATATACCAACTTCTCTTCATTAAGATGGTAACCTTTTTGATGTCTTTGGTTATTCACATGTGCATGCACTTTGATGTTAAATGTATATCATAAAATCTTGATTTTGACACAAGTCTATTCACATTCTACATATCTTAAGATATACATTTGAAAAAGGTGAGAGGGATGAATGATGATATTATTAATCAATCTAATTAATACACAATATCTGTAATAGGGCAAATTGTATGAAAAAATAATGTACTTTAATTTGATTACTATTTTGGGTAACATACTTTCAAAACTTCTATTTCGGTACCTAAGATGTAAAGTTTTAAACATTTAAGTATCCGGGTAACTAGTTAAAAACATTTACCGGTTATCATGTTTATATGGTATCCAACTCAGTATTATTTGTTGATAGCTAATGAGACATTTTGTATTATAAATGTTCTATAAAAAACTTGTTAAGATGTCTGAAAGCATACTAAAAACTTATTATAACGCTTTTAGATAGGACCCTTTGTTTTTTGGTCATATAAATTGAGTCCTATAAAACAGTCTAAGAAGACACTTTGAAATTGATGGTGTTCTATAAACTCAATTTTGTTGTAGTGATACCAACAAAATTTTAGTCTTCTGTTTAACAGATATAATCCTTAAAAGAATTTTACAACCATTTCCGAGCACACCCTTAGAAAGGCCGAAACAAAATCATTTTACTTGCATAAGAACTTCATAACACAAAATCAACAAGTGACTACAAGGCCTCGACTTGCAGGGTTATAAAAAATCCACAATGCTCTTACACGATCAAAAGTCGTCAAGTAACACTTGATAACTCCAATTGCTACAGTAAAATATCGTTTAGTTTTTTAATTTCCTGACGTGGATATTGGCAGGAATTGATTGAAACTTTAGCATGGAATCATGACCTTTCCTTGAATTCACTAAACCAAACAAAACCAACTGAACCCAGTAAAGAACACCTTTCCTTTTTTGGCGAACCATGACTGCAAGAAATCAGCCATGATAAACTCAGAATCGACCCCTAGACAAATGGGATATTCCACCACATCCCGAGGACCTCAACCACTGTGCCACAACCCTTGAGGGTTAAAAAGTAGCACGACTGTTTCTGTAAAGACCTTTCGTTAGCTGTCAATATCAAGAGCAAATGGGAACCAATCAGAAAACTGAAACCAGATTATTGTTGACCTTCAAATCACCATTATATATGCATCAAGAATCATTATGTAGAGAAAATGAAAATGAGTTGCATCCACATAAGGAGTCAAACCCACAAAACAAGGGGGGGGGGCCAAATATGAGAAAAAGAGGCTTAATCAACATGAAGGAATAAAGTTCTGGTATGAAAGCCCATGGGTGTCACTTCAAGATGATGATGATGATGATGATGATGATGATGATGATGGTGATGCTGAGCAAACTCACCCATTTCTTTTCTTTGCTTTGCCTTGCCTCCATCCGTTTTGCTTTCCTTGCAACACCCATCAAATATCACATCAGATTTGATCTACTGTTAACAGTATTACAATATATATGTATGTATATATATATATATATATGTGTGTGTGTATATGTGTATATATATATATATGTATACATGTGTATATATATATGTATACATGTGTATATGGGGTTGGGTTCAGGTGAGACCAAAGGGTTTTTGTGAGACCCGTAAGACCAATTTATGTTTATTGATCAATTTTATAAGCTAATGATCTAATGGTCTAAAGTTGCACGGTGGCAATTTTGTAATTATTGAGAAATCTCATGGCAATTTTGTGATTATGAATATTCAGATTGTAGATCTAATCCAATGATTGAGAATTGATCTGACGAGTCTCACGAAAAACCTTTGGTCTCACATGATCTCAAGTCTATATTATGTATATATATGTATATGTATGTAATCTTGCTACAACTGAGATTTGCAATTGCAAGCTTGAGAAGGAGTTGTGAGAAATGTTGTCGAAAAACTGAACTAGATGCAGCGGAAATTGATAAATCCTGTTAAAACGAACTTGAACTACAAGCATCAAAAGGATTTAGATGCTTTCTAGAAACCAAAAAGAGAAATAGTTAGTTCAGAGTGCGTTAGGTACACAAGACAGAACATGACTATTCAATACAAAAACTTATTGACTCACTTTTGGATGATACTAGACTGCGACAAGACCGGACCTGAATGGGACAAAAAATGAATTTTTTTTGTCCCATCAAAATAGAACCTCGAATGTAGAACCTCCTCTCTCTCTCTATGGACTCTTTTAGAGAGAGATTCAAAGGGGTTTCATATGTTCTTACATGGTATCAGAGCCGAGTTCTACCGAATCTAGGGACTTGAGACATTCTCTCGCCTCCATTCTACAAGGCACCATCTAGCCTCCATTTGAGGGGGCATGTTGAAATCCCACATACGCTAAACACGGACCATCAAACCCCTCTCTCTCTCTCTCTCTCTCTCTATATATATATATATGTATATGTATATATGTATATATGTATATGTATATATGTATATGTGTATATGTATATATGTATATGTATATGTATATGTATATGTATATATGTATATGTAGGAACCTCTTTCTGTATAAGAACTATTTTAGAGAGAGATTCAAAGGGGTTCCACGTACCGTCACACAGCAGATTGACCAGACCAAACGTATCATGGACTCGTAGGCGGAATGCGATCTATCTGTAAAAACAACAAAGAGGATTCTTGCATTATGATTAGAGGGATCAAAAATCAAAAGACAAGAAGCATGTGTTGGTAGCAGTAGAATATATAAACATATTAAAGACCACAAAACCATTTCTTTCCATCCATTTTAGTCCCCACAAAGCACATGAATTCTTCTTTCCTGCATGAATAAAAGCCCACAGGATTAAAAACAAACACCTGTTCAAGACTCGCAACCTATCATCTTTAATCCTTCTGAGTCACCCAACCACAATAAATCGTATAACTCATTTTTTACATGTTATTTACCAAACCCCTTTTACCAGTTCATGACACTAACCGTTGCTCAGCCATAGAGAAGTGTTTCTTTACGGCTTAACCATTAAGCCATTAAGCCAAAATGGCTATATGGAATAAGCCGGGACCCTCACTTGTCCCTGTTAAGCCACCTCAAACAGATTAATACCAGAAATGCCCCAGAAAGAATCCCACCCTTTCTCAAACCCATACAGGGCTTAATGGAAAAAAAGTAAACAGACAACTTAACCTATACTCGGTGAGTGATTAAGACTGACCCAGACCACACTATTACCAGGTTAGCGCTTACCCAATTTGCATTGGTAAACGGCCCATAAGATGCCATGGATAATAGAGTAGATTAGACCAATTTCACTGGTCTAAAAACAAAAGAGTTGGAAAGAATCTTTCTTTTCACCCCCCTTGTCAAAACGTCAAGATTTCTTTATTTACCTTTCTTCTCATGGCTTTGTCTTTATCCACCTTTAATCATTGAAAAATCTTCCCAAAGGATGCCCATTTAAACCTTTAAGCATAAACACAGAACCAGATCAAACCAAACAAAAAGATTGTGCACAACTTCAGAAACAGATGGAGAGATTAAAGAGTGACCAAAATCAAACCGAACGAAAAGATACATACAAAATCGCGTATATGATCCATTTCTTACTTGGTGCAGGCAATTTGCTTCCATGGAACGCGTTGATCACAGCTATCGACTATTTTGGCTATCTTTATCCAGATAAACACATTGAGAAAGTGTTTTCGATAGCGTACATGAGCTCTTCACTTTTAGTTCTTGTTTTGATGATAAGTCGGAGTAATTTGAGCAGAAAAGTTGGCTTTAGAATGAGGATGAACTTTGGATTCACCATGTTTGTTATATCTCTCATGGTGACTCCGACGATTGATTGGGCTCAGAATGGCAGCGTGTTGAAGGAGAAGTCATGCATAAAGTTTTACACAGTGGTTGCATCGGTTGTGATCTGTGGTTTAGCTGATGGCTTGATAGGAGGGAGCCTAATAGGGTCTGCAGGTAAGTTGCCAAAAGAGTACATGCAAGCCGTTTTTGCTGGAACGGCATCATCGGGTAACTTCTTTTCACTTTGATCTCGAATAATGCTTGGATATGTTGCCGAGTTGCATCATGCAACTCGGCAGTGTAGCCTCACGTCTAAGGTCACACGGTTTTGCAATCTCTAGATGTGTGCTAATGATGAAGTCACTTGTTTTTTTCAGTAGTTGCCACTACAACAAGCTAGGTTCTGTCGGACACTAAATATATCTAAATGTCTTCTTTATAGGACTTTAAGTCTATAGAACCAAACAATTGTGTGTCCTATGTAAAGATGTTACAATAAGCTGATAGGACGTTTTTGGGCGTCCTAACAAGTTCTCTTAAACACTTTTGAAATAAAGTGCTATTATTCTTTTTATACGTCATTATTTGAAAAAGTGTTGTATAGACCATTTCTCAAAACTGTCCTAGAAAATAGCTATTACGACTCTTAATTTTTAAAGAAATCCTAAAAACCTTGTTCCGACGCCAAAATGCGTCCTATAAGCTTATTGTAACACTTTTAAATATGATGTTTTGTTCTTTGGTCCTATAAAGCACTCTATTAGGATACTTAAACACGTTAGGCGTCCTGTAAACCTGATTTTGTTGTAGTGAATAACATACTTTATTTCGGTCCTGATAAAACTTGTTCGGATACCCAAATACGTCATAATATCTAATCGTAACACTTTTATTTAGGATGCACAATTGTTTGGTCCTATAAACTTAAGTCCTATAAAGCAGTCTATTTAAATATATAGACGTTTTTGGCATCCAATAAGGCAGTCTACTAAGATATTTTTGCCGTCCTATAAAGCCGTTTTTGTTGTAACGTGCATCTAGCGCACACGCATCCTTTTTCTTAGTCATGACTTTCACTAATTACAACGTTCTACGACCGTTCAGGGATACTGGTTTCTCTCTTGAGAATTATAACAAAAGCATCACTCCCGAATGATCCACAAGGCTTAAAGACAAGTGCCCACTTCTATTTCATAGTCAGCGCATTCGTTCTTATGATCTGCATCATTTGTTGTACTCTATTGTACAAGTTGCCGGTCATGGAACAATATAACAATCTACTCCAACACGACCATCCGACTTCACGAACTAAATTATGGGATGTGACAAGAATGATTCAATGGCCGGCACTAGCCGTATTCATTATATATACAATAACTCTATCTATTTTCCCGGGATTCTTAGCAGAAAATCTACAGTCGAAACGCCTTAAAGATTGGTACCCGATAATGTTGATCATCACGTACAATATTGCAGATTTTGTTGGGAAGTCTTCTACAGCAATTTATATGGTAAACAGCATTCCTAAAGCTACTTGGGGTTGTGTTGGAAGGCTGCTCTTCTATCCTCTGTTTACAGCCTGCCTCCATGGACCTAAATGGTTTAAAAGTGAAGAATATGTGGTGGCTTTGACTTTTATGTTGGGGTTTACCAATGGGTATCTGACAAGTGTCATCATGATTCTTGCTCCTAAATCAGTGCCACCTTCAGAAGCAGAAATGGCTGCAATTGTGATGGCTTTGTTCTTAGGGATGGGGTTGGTTTCTGGCTCTGTTCTTGGCTGGTTCTGGATCATCTGAAGCTAACGAGCTGTTTGGTTGATTTTCCATTAAGCCATGTATGAATAAAGTTGTCTGTGTGGATTAATGTGTCTGTATAGATTCGGAAGATTTTTGTATAGGGGGTTTTTCCTACAAATGGAAGGAGCGTGTTTTTTAATTGGGAGGGGTGGCTTGTTTGGAGAAAAAATGGCTTTCTACATAAAGCTCCCCCCTTGGAAGCTTACCGGATAGTCATATTGTCACTACCAAACAGTCATATATAGCTAACTGAATAAGTTGCGAGTCCCATTAAGCTGCTAACAAACAGGCCCTACAATGTTTCTATATCTAATGGTCACATCTAATGATTCTTCTTTTAAGCACGACTAGCAATTCATTTCAGAGCAAGTGCATCAAACTTGAGTCACAAAGGGTAAATTGGTAATTTTATGTCAATCGGACAGTTCATTCAGAACATTTAACAAAGAGCTAGTTACCATTCTGCAACAAGTCATACAGAAGCTGATCTTAATCATCCAGCACCAAATCATTCAGTATCTACCAAACAGCCCCTAAGTGTCCTATTCAAGCCTTTTAAACAAAACATGTCTTAATCATCATGAGAATAATTGCACGATACCATTATTAACATACCGCTATCACTGACAGTTGCCACAGAAACACGATCATCTCAAAAAGAATCTTGATTACACAAGTTGGAGACCGTTCAATGTTCTGTTACATTACTGTTCACACAAAAGATATGTGGAATAGTAGTCGCAACTAGGAGTCATTGACTCCAAATTTTAGTGGTCCTAATAGACTTAAGTTTCAAGGTTTTCAATATGGTCATCTCACCACACACATGAGCATAGCAACTAGTACATAAACTAAAAAAAAAAGACTAAACAAAGGGTCTGTTTGTAAGCAGCTTAATGAGCTTCATGGGACTCGCAGCTTATTCGGTCAGCTATATGCAACTATTTGGTAGTGCTTAATGACATAGAAAATGGTTTATTCAGTAAGCTTATAGGAGAAAACTTTATGCAGAAAAACAAGTTTTTTCCAAACCTTCCCCTCCCAATTAAAAAATACACTTATTCCATCTATGAAAAACAATCAAAACAAACACCTCAATCTATACAAACAGATTAATCCACACATACAACTTTATCCAAACAGGACTTGATGGAAAACCAACTAAACAACCCCTTCAACCAACCCAGTATATTCCATTCAAAATAGGCTATGCAAACCTAACCTCTACCCCCAAGTATGATTAATTCTTTTTTCTAATGATGACAATGGGCAAAAGAAGTAATCTTTATTTTGAAAGAAGTGGCGTAATTCCATGGATCATTATGAAATTAAAAAAGGGTGCAAATTTCACGAGAGTGTGGGAGCATATACAAAAATTGCCATATCGATATATCATTACAAACAATAAAAGATATGATGCAATAATATAGATTCAATGAAGGTACGATATCGTCCAAGTACTAAAGGACGGAAACCCTGCTCCACTACATACAGTTACAATATTATTCGCAATGTCCCACTCGACTCCCTATACCACATGTTTAGAAGATATTTTATTCACATGCGAATCAGACAGCTAAGCGTGAACCGGATATTTATTCACAGAACAATCCAAAAGCTAGATAAGTATAGATATCAATTCATTGGAGCAGTTGCATTTCACGACAAAAGACAATGGTTCAATTAATTGTGCAAAATTTCATCTAAAGCTCTAAGCCATTACCATAATAGAATCAAGAAACCGAGCCTGTTGTAATTCAAGTTCCACCATTTATGTCTACAAAATTATTAACCAGTTTATCGGGTTATGATAACAGCAAGAAATCAGAAGGGGCAATGGTGGGATGAACTCAAAGGAAGCAATGGTGACTCATGGACCCATGATGGTTCCAACACCAATCGCACGGTGGCTACTATAACAAATTTGTTTTATAGGACTGTATACAGCCTACTATGTGTAATGTGTCTTGATAGACTGCTTAATATGCTTAAGTTTATATAAATGTGTTACAATAAGTTCACTAAACGTGTTTATAGGACACTTGTTTTTATATATGACTTATAAACGGCTTTATATAACATCCTGTTGTAACACCTTTTATAATAAGACAGATTATTAGGAACCGATTTTGTTGTAGTAGGCATTCATGGATACAATCAACTACATATGTAAATAAGACATTTACAGAAGTAATAACAAAGCATAGCATTTATTTATTACCTTCGTCACATAATAATTACAAAAAATGACTGAATCTGATCATAATAACACTATAACTTATCAACAGAATGCTATCATCTCGAAATATATGATCATAGAAGTAGAATAAACAACAAAAAGAAGATGGGTCAGAAAGTTACTATATAATATCTATGTTAATAAAAAACAAGATTCATCCCTATGAAGCTGCAGCAATTGGGAATTGTGAAGCTTCTTGAAAGAAACCTGGTGATGCTGCTACGTTCATCTCGGAAACAGCTTCACGTTCTTCGTCATCTTCTTGTTCATCGGCATCCCAAAGAAACCGAGCATAAGAAGCCATAACATAACTGTATTCATCATTTTTAAATTCTTCAGTCAAAAGGAAAATTCAATGCATAAATGGAAGCTTAAATTTTCTACTTATGAATGATGAGAACTAACTATACATGGATTATTCATTATGAATATCATGCATATTCATTATGAATATCACTGTATTCATTACGAATAGTTGGTTTCTACTGTTGTGTGTTATTCTTACCAGTCATCTGGAGCAGCTTTAACTGCTTGATCGAAGTAACTCTGTGCACGAGATGAATCCCTTTGAGTTTCCCAAATCAAATCAGCATACATCGATAAAGCATTGCCATCGCTAGGGTTTGCCAGTATCGCTCTGCTGCAGAATTCTTCCGCTTTCACAAAATCACCTCGAATCTGTTCAAAATAATCGATCAAACCCGCAATTAGATAAACAGCCAACAACAATCATGAAACTGGTCGGATCTAATAAAGTATTAACGTAAGTGAATGATGAATTTTAATGGCGGATTGGGGGAATACCTCTTTCAAGTATTTGGCGTAATTGGCAAGAATCAACGAGTTAGCAGGGTTCGATTCGATCATATTCTGATAATACAAATCTGTACCATCACTCCCGTAATAATCCCCATTCCCACCACCGCCACCGCAGATCTTCCGACCACCGTCGCCTCCGCCGCTACCATCTACCATAGCTTGTACTCTACATCCCTCATCACCATCTAATCCAGAACTCGAAAATAACAAACCCCTGGTTTCGCTGTCTTCCGCTTCCACATCCTCTTCCACAACCATAGAAGAAATCAAACAATTCGAACTATTGAGTGAATTCCTACGTTTGGGTTTAGAAAGACCGATCAAATCACTCTCTGATGAGGCCCTGATGATCTTCTTAGGCAATTCATTTAGCGAACTCGATGAATACAACGAAATCGTCGGTGATCTCAAGTTCCGGTGGATAAAATCGGGTTCCGGTGATGAGATTCCTATGAGGGATTGTTGTTGAAACCATGAATTGAGTGCGGGATTTGACGAGCTCTTAAGTAGCATTGTTAAGAACCCTAATCGAAAATCCCGAACAAGAAAAGGAAAAGCTTGAAGCTTTTTGTTGAAATGGCTATGGAGGTTTTCTGATGAAGAAAAGAGAAAGAGTCGGTGGAAGTTTATAGGAGAATGAGGAGAAGATCTTAACCGTTGATTTAATTGATGATGCCACGTGGTATCGTCATTTTCAATCTCCCTGCCCATACATGCTTTGTTTCTCCCTCCAAAATAATTTTCAGGTTTTACTCCTTAAAAATAATAATAGTATCCATACAATACACCAGATATATATTTTAATTTTTATTTTTTATTTTTTATTTTTTTATATCAATTGATATTATAATATAATTTTATATGATTTTAAAAAAATGATAATATTTTTATTTTTAAA